CTTTTCCATTGCTTTCATTGTGCTTCTACTGTGCATGTGTGTAACTTGTGGGGTAAACATGTGATGACATTGTATGCTGGCGACACGGTGAGATGTTCATGCGTCTAACGTACACCTGCATGTTATGCATTGAAAAGGGTTTGCCACTTGCGATTCTGGGACGAGTATCAGGTCCGCTTTGTCCTGTGTGGGCTGTATCAGATTGCTGTTCACTTCTCTATCTGTTGGATATGTGACTTTCTGCAAGTTTCTGGTGTATGATGGCCACGTCCTTGCTTGTCACTTTGCATGATATTACATTCTGTATTCGCTGCTTCCATGGCATGGTCTGCAAACTGCAATCCTTGGGCAAATGTAATGTTTGCTATGTTGTGCTTTGGCCGTCAGCTTGTCTACACGCTGTGGTTGAATTATTTTTGTTTCACAACTGACTTCCTCAAGTACGGTGGCCACTGCTTTGCATGGCATTATACATGAAGAATTTCCTGTTTGTGTCGTGTGCATGTGCGTATGTGTGCGTGGCCACGTGTGTGTGCCGTGTGCATACACATGTTTGTGTATCTGTGTGCGGGGTAGCGAGGCGGGGAGGGCTGGTATGTATCAGTGTGTTATTGCAGTCGCATGGTTACATACAGTACATCGCGCGCGTGGTCATCATGTTTACCTTCGGGGTTGGGGTGGGGAGGGAACGGAAAAAGAGCTGAAATTATCCATATAAAAATCGCTCTGTGAGCGGTTCTGAAAAACCTTTACTGGTACTGCCCCGTCGTAAAAGTAAGAAATTAGAACTGGCCCATTGTCCCCCCCAAATGCGAACTGATCCACCTAAATCGCGAATGACGGGACCCGAACGCACCAGTAGCACGAGGTTCCTACCTGTGGATGCAGATGGGGACGTTGGTCCGGACCATAGGCCATGTACTGTACTAGCGGTAGGCTTCCCTATCAAAATAATAAATTCTACTACTACTTGTGTTACCCTATGATCCTGTGCCCTCCCGACCTCGTGCTACTGGTGCGTTCGGGTCCCGTCATTCGCGATTTAGGTGGATCAGTTCGCATTTGGGGGGGACAATGGGCCAGTTCTAATTTCTTACTTTTACGACGGGGCAGTACCAGTAAAGGTTTTTCAGAACCGCTCACAGAGCGATTTTTATATGGATAATTATTATTATAGGCTTTTCCGAGTTGGCATCGCCAAGCAAGCTTGGCTAGCCTTCGCATAAGCTGCTCCATAATGATGAGACGATACAATGAATGCATGTATATACGATCTAGGACAGAACATAGGTTGAGGATATTTTTGAAGAAAGCTGCAAGTTGTATTGAGGAACACAATGTTGCAAACTCTACGAAAGTAAACTGCAAGACATTTTTTGGGGTTGTTGTTAGTAGCATTTAAGGTTGTGTTTTCACAGGTATATCGTTTACATTCCTATTCATTTAGGGGCCATCCGTAATTATCCATATGTTTCACGAAACGAAATGTTTAGTTATGACCCACCCCCACCCACCCACCCCCCTGAAACGAAACAATAATTAATTGACTTGAGACTTTGTGCAGAAAATGATCTTGATGGGCTGTTACAACACACACACACATATCCTTCGCATGCAAGCACTATTAACCCTTTACCGGCAAGTAATAGTTACTTTTGTATATGAAATCCATAACATTTTAGAATGATGCCAATAACTCACAGCGAGGACATATTTTTAATGGTTGTGCAAGTCAGTTATGTTTTCTTGGAAGTCTGGTACTACCGGCACTTCTTGACCATGGAAACATTTATTTTCACCTACCACACACATACGCTGCTAAATAATTGGCACCTCTACGTCTAAACACGGGAATAGTACACATGCAAATCGTCAGAGTTCCGACATTGACATGATAATGACAAAACAAGTCGACTTCGGAGCGGAAACAAACACCATAGCTATCACAGACTTCAGTGAATCAGTGGTCGTGCCTCGCTCGCAAATGAGAGCAGCATCGCCCCAGAATCGCTGTCGGAAAGCTCCGTAAGGTCGCACACACGACGCGCTGCGCTGCCGTCTATCAGGTACATGTACGTAGAAATTCGATGACCTCAATTTCCGTCTCTGGAAGACTGTCAACACGGGGATCACTCGCCATGGCTTCCCCACCATAAGCACGATCAGATTCTTCTAGGTACATTACGACGACATTGTCTTCAGCGGCTGGTGCTCCCCATATTTGCGTGAGAATTTACTTAGCGTGCGCTCCGCTCCGTAATTTGAAATTCTCTTGCATCGGCGGCTGGAACGAAGTATTTATCTATCTGTCGTCGGTCCCAGAGCGAATGACTGCTAGGTCCTCGTCGGAGAAGTCATCCGAGGACGAAAGGAACTCATAACTGCACTGAGTACAGAGTGGTATCAGTGCATCCATGCAGCACTTGCTGAGCAATGCAGCACTTGCTGAGCAATGCAGCACTTGCTGAGCAATGCAGCACTTGCCTGGCCGCGCGACGTACTTTCGATCTACTTCGAAGTACACAATGTATGCATGCATCAGTGCATGCAGTGCGCGTTGATTTTTCCGCTTTCGATGGGTTTTTTTTCAAAACGAAAACCGGTCACTACCCACCCACCCATAAACAAAACTTTTTCGTTTCGTGAAAAAGATGGATAATTACGGATGGCCCCTTACAGGATCATATTTTCACAAAATATGTTAGTCAATGAGTTATGTTATAGTACACCGTACAGCCATGCAGCTGCCACAGGTGAAAGCAGTATTACTATTAGGCTTTGATGTACGTGGTCCGGCTCATCGCAATTGTCGCTTATCTATCGCCACTAAGAACAGGAGTTTTTTTTACCGCTCTGTGAAATTTCCACTAGGCATAGTGAGAAAGCATGATACAAGAATTCTCTCCGCCAGAAGAAAAACAAATTCAGCAATGGAATCAGGTGAGGCGAATCGAAGAAAGGAAGCAAGGTAAGCAAAATGCACGAATACATCAGCGAAGGAGCGCGCTTTTGCACTCACACTCTTACAGGTCCAGAGTTCATTCAACTCTGCATCACTCGAGCTGCCGCGCCGTTGCATGAGCTGACATTTGCTGGTGTCTAGCTGCTGGCGTAGACTGGAGTATCTCTTGCTTTCTCAGGCTGTCGTATGGCAGCAATGGGAAAGGAACAGTTGTGGCTGTCACTTCGGTGCTTGAAGGAACTGTGGGCAGTGTGACCTGTGTGTCGCCACAGTGTGTTTCAACAAAGCCTTCGAGGCATACAGGCCTCTCCAGACAGCTGTCAAACGCTCCGCTGGATACGCTGACCACGACTCTTGTAATGCTGCTGCTTGGTCCACCAAGCAAGGAACAACAACCGCCTGCCGGGCGCATCCCTTCAAAAACACCTTTCTTCTTCAGCATGACGCTCATGCGGCTCATACTCCTCTGCCGTGCACGCGTGCCTGTCGCGCTCTCCAGGATGTCAGTTGCCCCTACCACAGTTCGGGTCTTCGGGTCGCTGCGCTTGGCTTTTGGCAACACAGACAGTGAATAGCGAGATTCCCACTTCCCAAAAAAAGTCAAACACATCGCGATTCAAAGCGCTAGTCGCGATCATTTTTCTTTGGTGCCTCCTTTGATCTTGCCATCACAACCTCCTAAGCAAAAGTAAGTTAGATATCGTGATTGGACTGGGTTTTACCTGTAAAAAGGTGCGTGAGAGGTAAGCGACAATTGCGATGAGCCGGACCAAGTATGCTTTTATCACATTGCTGCATAGGTCTTTCCAGTCTTGTCGTGACTGGGCGATGGCATGGAGGTTCTCAAGTTGCTCACGTTTAATGAGTGACCCCCGATACGCTGCAGGTCCTGAAGCAGACTCAGTGGCAGAGTGGTACGTGGCCGGCCCCGCCAGGTGGCAGCAGATCTTGGGTTTTCGAAGTATGCTGCCATCATAAAGCGTGCTGGTACATCGTCATCTAGTCTCAGGACATGGCCAAAGAACCGCCACCTCGGTCTCACAATGGTTTTCCCTAGGGGCTGGGAGTTGGTGCGTTTATACATCCGTATGCTTTTTTGTCTAGGTTATCAAGGCAAAAAAGCATAGCGTAGGGCCCTGAGCTTCCAAGCTCTCTCGTTGTAATCTGCAATCAACTGTCATTAAAACAGAAACAGAAAAATAATAAGGCACCCATTTTGATAGTCCAGGGGATGGCCCACGCCAGGTAAAGAGAATAAATAGAGAAAAGAAAAGACGGATATTTCACAGGAAGTACAAGTACAATAGGGATACAGTGCAAGTAGGTAGTTCTCACAACGCAAAGCCACACTGCGCAACAGCCAAAGCTGCTGACCGGTTCTGATCAACGGCAGAGGAAGAGGCTGGACGTCGATGACCACGAATGGCAGCGGCAGCTACTCGGATTAGTGCAAAGCCCAACCTCACTCGAAGAAAGGCAATCACAGACGAGAAAGACTCTCCTGTCTTCTCCGATACCATGGACGCAACCCTACCGTAGAGAGCCTTCGCTGCTTTGCTTTGCCCGCCAGTGCAACTGAGAACGATGGGGACAAATGACGCATGCTTGATGTGCAAAACTCCTGCTTCGTAGCTTTGACGCTTCTCCTTCTCGTGTCTGGCATAGACGGACACCAGGGAGGCGGGGTTTCGGTTTGAACGAGCATAAGGGTTAAACACCCTAACATCGAAGAATGTTTGCTCAAACCTACTTCTCCATACTCCACTGGCACCCACATCCAGCCGTGCACCTCCATAGATGTACATTTACTTGCAAGCTGTAGAGACACTAACACATCCATTCCCGACGAATTCAGCGTTCAACATTTTCTTCAGACTTCGTAGGTCACACTTTGTGTGAATCTACACAGGCGGGTGGGTAAAAGCCCTCACTGTAACCCACACACTCGACCTACAAACTAGTACGACAAAATAGAGTAATAAGATATTCTTCCAGGAAGTGATATACATCCTATCAAAAACCTACTTTGTTCTCCCAGAGATTTGTTGGATAATCAACTTGTTCACCTACCTGCCGGGCTGTTCAACACCACAACCAAATTACGAAACGTGTAAGTCATGGTGTGCATGTATTGGAAAAGAGATTTGTTTGCGTAGTTCTGTTCTTTTGAGATGTGGCAAATGTATATGTATAGATTATAGACCGGTTAGGAGGTCTATACAGGATATATAGACCGAGTAAAAGACCGAGGTCCCCCGAGGTCTTTTACGAGGTCTATATATCCTGTATAGACCAACTATGAGGTCTATAATCTATTTATCGTGTTCTCCACGCAATAGTTTCTCTTCATATACGACATCCTTGTAATTCTAGTATTATACTATAGCCTATACCGCATTGTACTGCATTGAAAGTCAAGATCATTGTTTAAACCAGGTTCAGCATCGGTAGCACAGTGGCTGGGTGGTAAGGAAGAGTGACTGAGATTCACAAGGTTTTGGGTTCAAATCCCATCTTGTGTATTTCTGCTTTCTTCAAAAATTTATTTTTCTAAGTTGGAGAGAAAATTTCTAAGTCCAAGAAGTTCTAAGGAGTCAAATATAAGTAGTCAAATATATCGCGTATTTGACTGCTTAGTCAAATACGCGATATATTTGACCGCTTAGGTATCAGGGAAATTAGTGGGGTCAAATACTAAGAAGGCGATAAAGCACGGTATAAAGAGATTCTTCTAGGAAGTGATATACATCCTATCAAAAATCTACTTTGTTCTCCCAGGAGTTTGTGGAATAATAAACTTGTTGACCTACCAGCCGGGCTGTTCAATGTGGAATTAGAATACCTGTAAGTCATGTTGTGCGTGTATCGTAAAAAGGCGTTTTTGTTGGCGTAGTTCTCTTCTTTTAGGATGTGGCGAATGGGATTTCAGGATGTGGCATCTAGGCAAAATGCAGATAATGCCGGTAGAATAATTGGCAGAATTCGGTACTTTTTCTGGTAAGTTTCATGTATGTTTTGTAAGTGGATAAAGGAATGGAGCAGAATTCGAGGAATTGCCCACCAGTAGGTTTGTATGGTTCTGCCAATTTCACTGCTTATAACATCCCTATGCTTTTTTGCCTAGGTCATCAAGGCGGTAGACGGTGTCGTATTACCCTCGACCGTACCTGTCCCGTACCTGTCCCGTACCGTACTGTGCCATCAAAGACGGCTGGCCACAATGCATATTCAAATAGGGCTTTCAAATGCAAGATCATAACTTGAAGCTACTTGGAAGAATTAGTATGTATGCGAAGTGTATTGGGGGGGGGGGGGGGGTTGCATGCAGGGCGATAGTGCTTGTTCGAATCCCAGGTTATGTCTTAAAAAAAAAGGAAAATTTTATATGAATTTATAACATCCGTATGCTTTTTTTGTCTAGGTTATCAAGGCAAAAAAGCATAGCGTAGGGCCCTGATTTTCCAAGCTCTCTCGTTGTAATCTGCAATGAACTGTCATTAAAACAGAAACAGAAAAATAATAAGGCACCCATTTTGATAGTCCAGGGGATGGCCCACGCCAGGTAAAGAGAATAAATAGAGAAAAGAAAAGACGAATATTTCACAGGAAGTACAAGTACAATAGGGATACAGTGCAAGTAGGTAGTTCTCACAACGCAAAGCCACACTGCGCAACAGCCAAAGCTGCTGACCGGTTCTGATCAACAGCAGAGGAAGAGGCTGGACGTCGATGACCACGAATGGCAGCGGCAGCTACTCGGATTAGGGCAAAGCCCAACCTCACTCGAAGAAAGGCAATCACAGACGAGAAAGACTCTCCTGTCTTCTCCGATACCATGGACGCAACCCTACGGTAGAGAGCCTTCGCTACTTTGCTTTGCCCGCCAGTGCAACTGAGAACGATGGGGACAAATGATGCATGCTTGATGTGCAAAACTCGTGCTTCGTAGCTTTGACGCTTCTCCTTCTCGTGTCTGGCATAGACGGACACCAGGGAGGCGGGGTTTCGGTTTGAACGAGCATAAGGGTTAAACACCCTAACATCGAAGAATGTTTGCTCAAACCTACTTCCCCATACTCCACTGGCACCCACATCCAGCCGTGCACCTCCATAGATGTACATTTACTTGCAAGCTGTAGAGACACTAACACATCCATTCCCGACGAATTCAGCGTTCAACATTTTCTTCAGACTTCGTAGGTCACACTTTGTGTGAATCTACACAGGCGGGTGGGTAAAAGCCCTCACTGTAACCCACACACTCGACCTACAAACTAGTACGACAAAATAGAGTAATAAGATATTCTTCCAGGAAGTGATATACATCCTATCAAAAACCTACTTTGTTCTCCCAGAGATTTGTTGGATAATCAACTTGTTCACCTACCTGCCGGGCTGTTCAAAGCCACAACCAAATTACAAAACCTGTAAGTCATGTTGTGCATGTACCGTAAAAAGGCATTTTTGTCGTAGTTCTGTTCTTTGGAGATGTGGCAAATGCGATTTGGGGATTTTGCATCTCGTTGATTGATCTCATTTATCCTGACCACCCTTTATGACCCGAATCTGACGCCGCTCGTGGAAGACTTTTCCAGGTGGAACTCCGTGCTGGTAGTACTTGACAAAGTATGCTTCTGGTAGCTGCAGGGGGCCATAACTCGGTAAACTCTTCTCATTACTATTTTTTAATACCTTTGCAACATTTGAATGAAATCTACACGGCCATTATGTTTGACTTTAATGCTTTTTGTCCACCACACACGTTAGCCAATATTGGATTCAGTAAACCGTGCTCCTAGTTCCTTCACATTGGTTCGATATCGAATATCTAATGTTTAGTGTATGAACCACATAGTTGGCTGTACTTCTTGAAGAAATGAAGAAAATCTATCTGGCCACTTTCGGAAAAAACCCGGCGAAGTATGGATATTTGCTTTCGGAGCCAAATGAGATTGTTAGTATGGGCAGCCAAGAACCCTGAGAAGAAAGCCCAGCCACCCTATTCGGCTTGGCTTGACTGCAGAAATCACCACTCAAATACAGTAGAGGCAAAATGCTGGGATATGTGTTTGTGCAACATACTCCAACAAACCAGAAATGTCAAATCAGGTTTTAACTATGAAGATATGTTTCAATCCTTCCTAGTTTTCGGAACTGACAATATTCTGGTAGTAGAGCTGTGCAATTTTGAACAAAATCGATCAGGTCGTTTTTATGTTCCGATTTGGGTATGCAGGCATAGTGTGCTGGTCTAAGACCATGAATGAGAAACATAGGATACCAGGTTCAAGTCCTGCTTGGAAGCAGAAGGATTTTTTCCTACTTCTCCATACTCCACTGGCACCCACATCCAGCCGTGCACCTCCATAGATGTACATTTACTTGCAAGCTGTAGAGACACTAACACATCCATTCCCGACGAATTCAGCGTTCAACATTTTCTTCAGACTTCGTAGCTCACACTTTGTGTGAATCTACACAGGCGGGTGGGACACAGCCCTCATTGTAACCCACACACTCCAACGACAAACTAGTACGCAAAATAGAGTAATAAGATATTCTTCCAGGAAGTGATACACATCCTATTAAAATTCTACTTTGTTGTCCTAGAGTTTTGAAGGGTAATCAACTTTTTCACCTACCTGCCGGGCTGTTCAACACCACAACCAAATTACGAAACGTGTAAGTCATGGTGTGCATGTATTGGAAAAGAGATTTGTTTGCGTAGTTCTGTTCTTTTGAGATGTGGCAAATGTATATAGCACGGTATAAAGAGATTCTTCTAGGAAGTGATATACATCCTATCAAAAATCTACTTTGTTCTCCCAGGAATTTGTGGAATAATAAACTTGTTGACCTACCAGCCGGGCTGTTCAATGTGACAACCGAATTAGAATACCTGTAAGTCATGTTGTGCGTGTATCGTAAAAAGGCGTTTTTGTTGGAGTAGTTCTCTTCTTTTAGGATGTGGCGAATGGGATTTCGGGATGTGGCATCTAAGCAAAATGCAGATAATGCCGGTAGAAAAATTGGCAGAATTCCATGATCCATGCACGTGTGTGCGAACACACCCGTACGCCAAGCTACCGGCCGTATTCGTAGTTGCCATGCACATTTGCTTTACGACTTGCGAAACCTGAATTCTGTTTTCAACGAAACCATTACGAGACGAATCAAACTTTCGTTTCGCATTCGATTCGTAGCAAATGTGAAAGGTCCCTAATATGATACACCAGAGAGTTAAGGGACAATAGTTACTTTAACGTTGTGTTTTAGTTCGAAACCATAATTCAAGAGCGTCCTAAAAACGGCTACTGAATTCTAACTACCAGTGGAAAGACCAGTCCTTTTCTCCAAGGACAAACAGCAAAAGGCCCCAGCCAGCCAGAAAAGAGGGACCCAGAAAAGGATACGAGAAATAAAATGGGGAATACTACCGTACTGCGCAGTAGAGCGCAGACGAACCGCGCGAGCGGGTACGTGACATAAATGAAGTGTGAGCAGGACTAGAGTACGATTATGTTACAGTTCAAGCTGACAGAACACGTGCAGTGCTACACCGTAGCCGTGTACCACGTGGAAGCAAACAGAAGTAGAGGAGACACGGGATAGTAGACATGAACTCAGGGTCAAACTTATAAGCGTGTAACGTGAATGCACGCAGTATAATTATGGAGACCAGAGAAAGACACAGAGCTCAGTGCGTACCGAGTACTACACACTTAACTCGTACACTTGAATGTCACGACACTCCCAGCGGAAAGAGAAAAACAAAACAAAGGATGAAGTAGAGAAGCATGCCTTGCCGTTGCTGCTGTTGGATCATGTTGTCGTATTTGACCTTGAGTTCCGGCTCGGCTGCTAGGCGCTTAGATAGAGACCGGAAACGACCAAGTGCGACACCAAAGTTGTCTGGCAGTAGATGGGCATTGGATTGCCAGGGCCAGCTGACTTCATACCTCTGACCGTCAAACGTTACAGTGGAGTTGAATTGCTGCATGGCTAGGTCGTTGTTCGTCAGATCGGCTGAATCCTGGTTGCCAATGCAGTCTAAGTCGCACAGATCTGGAATGGTGCACGAGTCGGGAGTCGCATCAGTTAAAGAAATGATAGCTGGCATGGCTGTGCTGCTTATCGGTGCAGCTGAGGGCTTGGAGTGACGTGTTCGGCCAGTCACCACAAAACCGACTGTGGTGGGCAGAAGCTGCAGTCCTGACGGAAGTCCTCTGGTGCTCCCCATCATAAACTCCCAGTGGAAATCTGTACTGATCAAGACGTCTATCTGACGGTCGACTTCTTGTAGGTTGATAGTGTCCGCCAAGTTGTCTGTGCCAAGTTCTTGGAGTGCCATGATATCCGCTGCTGGGATACCCTGCTGAGAGATAGTGTTGGTGATATGTGGCAACACACTGGCTTCGATTTTTTTGGATGAGCCATCCTTCAATCGCAGACCAAGACCCACAACTCGGACCTTCCGTTGCGTCTTCCTTGCATGACCGAAGGTAGATAAAGAGAGCCACTCATAGCGTGCCGCATCTGCTGGAATGGTGTCTGCCAACTTTTCTGTCAGATAAGAGCGGTGACTGGCAGGATCGAAGAGAACTGTCGCCATGACTGTGGAGCCGTCTGCACTCTCAATCGGAACTCTCGCTGTTTGCAAGTAAACATCACCACTTGCGATAGACGACTGAAGTGCAGCAGTGGGCTGCGTTTGAGGGGCTGCTGTGTCAGCAGCTATGACGACACTGGTTGATGCTGCACTAGCCGTTGTTGTGCTAGATGCTGGTGCCTCGTGAGCCGCAGGTTGATCAGCTACCAGGTTGGTACTGTTGCCAGATTTCTGTTGAGATTCAGGGCAGATCGTGACATGATGGTGACCCTTGCGAGAACACACATTACACTTGTGGGTGGCCTTGCACTGAGTTGACCGGTGCCCTGTGCGCAAACACACAAAGCAAAGCTCCTGTTCAATCAGTTGTTCTTTCCGCTGTGCTACTGTTACGTATTTCGTGCAGCTCTTGTCCAGGTAAGGTCCGCCGCAGAATGCACATCCTCTCATATTGCTGGCATTCCAGTCTCCATCAGACTTGTTCCTGCTCATAAACTTGCGTGCGCCCGTCACCAGTGCACCTGCAGAATAGCGAGTGGCATCTTCTGCTGTAGTGCCGCCTGTGTTCGGCGCGAGAACTTGCGAAACCACAAGTTATCAAGAGTGAAAGGCCTTCTCGCTTGTGACATTGTGTTCGTTTCAATGCAGTTGTATCCCGACTCCGCCGTACCACTGATGTTTACGACGTGGTATACGCTACAGGTGCTATGTGCGGTTTGCTGTGTGCGCTGTAGTTGTATGTTGTATGTGTATGCTTTTCTCTTATACGCTGTCATTTTCACGCTATAACTACCTGGTGGTTTTAGTGTTAGTTATTCATTATTGTTAGTCGTTCGAAGTCAATAATTTTTCTAATGTGGAGAGTGAATAGTTGTCCTCGTGCCGTGTGGTCGTTCGTTCCTTTTACTTAAGAGAACCAACACTCACTAAGATCAGTAAATCGGGCATTCGTGCTGTTCTGCATTGGCCACCTCGTACCCCAACTTTTTTTCCAACTCTGACACCCGCCTTCTGTCATGCATCTCTCTCTTTTCCACTTTCTGCTTTCTGAGTTTTGTTTTGGTCTTTGTTGCCAAGTTATCAACAAACTTCCAACACGCAGCGCTCTCTTGTACATATTGTATTCTATTTTTGCCTTTCCGCCTTGTACATGCCGCTCTTCCTTTCTTTTCTCTCTTTTTCTTTTTATTGTGCTTCGCGCCTCCCGGCCTTACCAATGGCGGGGGAGTACTGTAGCGAACTGACATCACTATCACATCATAAGCATGCGCAAAATCATAAAACATTCTCTGAGGCGTCACCTTCTTTGTTGTCCAGTTGGCCTTTGTAGCCGTCGTCTAGGGCCCGACGTAAAACCCCTGAGCCTCTACCATCTACCTCCATCAATAGAGTGATTCTACTCTACCAGGAAGCTAAAAACGAACGCAGCCTAGAAGGCGGACTGGGGGCTGGGGACTCTCTTGGTGCTTCAATGGCTATCCGGGATGCGTAGGAATTCCCCCTAGCACGTACTGCAGCTGGCTCCGATGATTTTTCCTTTCACGTTGGAATTAGACGTTCTTTTCCTGGAGAGCCCGAATCTCCTCTCGAAAGTGCGCAATGGCGGCTTCCTTTTTCTGTTCTTTGGAGGCTGTTAGACTTTTCAGGTCCGCAATATCTTCCCAAGAAGACGCACTGTCTCCCTCAGCTGATTCATGATCGTAAGCATACTGATGCTGGCGGCTTGAGGGTCCATTGGTAGCCCAGTCTGTAATGCTACTCGATCATTTGGCTGGATTTTTTTCCCGGAGTGCTCCGACGAGCTGAACTCGGCTGAGGCTGGCCAAGTTCACATTGTTGGCCCTTGCTAGGCTTTCTGTCCCTAGCTATCCAGAATACCAACTCTATGGTAGCCATACTCTCCCTGGGAGAGCAGGGAATTGGACGTAAACGAACCTACAACTGCGCAGGGAACGACGAAAACGATTTCATGCCCCAGGGGCTGCTGTGGCTGTCGACGTCAGCGAGAACATCTGGCGTGTCGTTGACGTACGCCTGGAAAAGTGTTGGTCCAAGAATGCTTCCCTCGGGGACTCCAGCGGTGGTCGTGTACGTAGATGACGTACGCCTCCAACGAGGCACTGTAAGGAACGGGTGTCGAGGGACGAGGCCAGCCATCTCTGAAGCAGACCATTAATGCCTAGGCTACGCATCTTGTGGAGGAGGCCGACATGTGAGACACGATCAAACGCTCCTGTGATGTCCACAGCAAGGATACGCACCGTCCTCCACAGCCCACAGCGCTTGCCCAGGCAGTTTGGAGAGCTTGCAAAGTGTCTGATGTTCGGAGGCCTCCGCGAAATCCAAACTGGTGCGACGTGAGCAGATGGTGGTCCTCAAAATAGTTTACGATGTGTCTGTTTACTAGAGTTTCCATGATTTTCGAGATTATGCACAGTAAGGATATGGGCCTGTAGTTGAGCGGGAAGGTCGCTTGTGGATCAGAACCACGTTGGCTGTCTTCCACATCCTAGGTTGGACTCCAGACCGGAAGCATAAGACAAATAATTTGGACAGTGGCTCTGCAAGCTCGTGAGCACATTCTTTAAGGACGCAAGCAGAAATACTGTCAGGCCCTGTAGCCTTGGAGACGTTGAGCTTTGCCAGGAGGCGGCACATAGACTCTGGGCGGAAGCGGATGGTGCGAAGAGGGGGAGCATCTGAGGGAGCAGGGTTCAGTAGGTCAGCCTCCACAAGGTCTGGACCGGCACATGCTACATTTCTTTGAGAAGAAGCGGGGCGAATGCCTCGGCTTTCCCTGAGCTCGTTGCCCACTCGCGGCCGTCAGAGTTGACAATTAGGGGAATTTCGAGCTGTGTGCAGTTGCCAGCGGCGTTCTTCAACTTCGTCCACCACTGTTTGTCTCTAAGGGACCCAGATGAGAGGCAGCGACAGAGGCTGTGCTCCTTTGCACGTCGTGATCGGAACTGAATGGCGATCGCTACAGTCACGGAATTGAATGCCTGCTGAAGTACTGGGTCATAAGGGTGTTTTCTCCGGTTGCGCCAGTGCTTTTTCTTCTCCCTCTCGATCTGGGTACATTCAGGCATCCACCATACCGGATCGGAAGGCCTCGTTTCCAGAACTTTGGATGGGACAAATTATGCAACAGCTGCAGTTATCGAAGCGGTAACTTGCTCACAGGAAATTTCCTCCGTGATGATATCACCCCATTCCACGTTGCGAAGGTGCGCCCTGAGGCGATCCCAGTCTGCCCTGTTGTTCACGTCTATGGAGCACATCAGAAAAGTCTGAGAGTACAACTGCATTGTCAGATCGACCGACGGGTGGAAGTGTACGGGTAGTTACTGGGAACGTGAATGTTGACATTATGAGCTCTAGCGGGTTGTCTCCAAGGGTAACATGCTGAAAAAGAAGATGGGCAGCAGGTATCTTCGAGAGCCTCGCCTGCAGGCGTAGTTTTCGAGCTGTTCAACCAAGCCTGGTTGTGCACGTTGAAATCGCCAGCTAGGATAATGTGGGGGCCCTGCTGTCTAGCTTCTGGGAGGATGGTGTCGGGATGGTCAATTAGGGTGAGATCGCCAGGGGCACAGGACTCCGGCCGATACACTGCTCCCAAGGCGGTGCGCAGACCTGGGCCCAGCTGGAGAGAAAACCAGATGATCTCATGTGCGGAGGACATGAGTTCAGTGATGAGCATGGAGGGGAGTGACGACTTCACCCAGATGGCTACCCCTCCCCCGTGTGCCGTTCTGTCCAACCAAAATGGTGAGCTGTATCCAGGGAAACTAATGTCATAGGGAAGTACTTTCTCCGCAGTGAACTTCGTTTCTGTCACAATTGCGACGTCGGGCTGATGCTGCAGGAGTGCGTGCTGTAGGTCCGGAAGTTTGCTGGCTAGGCCGAAAGCGTTTGTGCAGAGAATACGAAGATGCTTGCTACCCTTCATTGCAGGAGGAGGTAATTAAAGAGGGGAGTGGAATTTGGCATAAGCCTGTGCATGGCTACATGTATGGCTAAGGGTCCTAAAAATCTAATGAAATACCTAAAAGGTGTGGAGAACAACGTCACTGTAGGCTAGGATTGAGTATCCTGTCACACCAGATGGCTGAGGCATGAGCCCTATGCTGGGGCAAGGGGTTGGCTGTGGCCAGGGTCGATGTTGTTGCTCTTTTTTATTTTTGGAATTTTAGAAATCAGGTGAGGATTCCGCACTGGGACTAGCTCTCCTGCATTGTTCGGAGGTAATCCAGTGGTTTGCTGGCTGTTTAGACATGTCTGTGTTAGACACCAGTGAGGATAGGAGATCTTCAGCACGCGCCGAATCTGGGTGATTGCATGTTGTGGTGGTATGAGTGGTTGTGTCGGTGTGCAGTGAGGTTAGATGTTGTCGTACCTGTACCTGTGCTGCCTGGCGGCGTTTCCGGGTGCACAGTCGTGCTGGTTGCCGACATGGGCGATATAATGTCTTGTTCGTACTGGTCGTTGACTGGGTCATTTGGTGCGAGCTGGAGAGCAGGTCCGCTTTCGGAGTGGTGTTGGCACCGTTTTGGATACGGCGCTGGCGTGGGTCAAACTCTGGGCCGCTTTTGGTGCCGAATCGGCATGGTGAGAGTCAGTTTCAGCTCCGCTGTTCCGCTCTTTGCTGCCCGTGCTGCTGCTGCTGCTGCCATACGTGGAGGTGTGTGCACTGCGACAGTTTAGGCTTTATTCCATCAAGAATGGGTTGAGACATTTTCGAAATTTGGGAAATAGCTCAAAACCCACTCGTAGCGGTCATGACGAGTAGACCCATCCGAACTCATGAGACACGAACATGTTTCACATTGTCACGACTGGTCTCTAAACCAGCTCCCCCTTCGCGTAGTAGTTTCACGGCTTGCTAATGGTCCCTAGTCATAACTCGTGACAGGTTGTCCTTCTCCTCTTTTATCATAATATATTGGCTCACCATCGGAGTAAAACTATTTAAAATCATAACTTATTGTTTTACTGCTTATATACACAGTTTCCTCTGAGACAAGAATGCGACAATACTCATAAAAGGACTTTACGAAAATCTTGAAAGTTTTGGTTTCACAAGTATACTTTCAAGCCTTCTCATCAGGTGAAATGCAGGCAAAGGAAAAGGAAAAGGAACACTGAATTAAGTACGGTAAGGAGGTGGTCAAGCAGCGCAAAGAAGAAGATAGCTAAAGTAAACAGCGAAAATGCGTGACCTATACACATAGCAATAATGACACAAAAATGCAAGTGCGAGAAAACTCAATCAGCGTGACATGTAATGCGACAACAAGAGACAATCACTGGACATAACTAACGAGGTTTTGACAACCTACCTAACAGCCTAAGTGTGAATTTAATTTGCTTATGCTTGCTTGCACAGGTTGGGTTTTTTCTGTATACGGCTTCAAAACAATCTAGCACTGCGTACACATGACACAATCGAACAAAATCATCTGAATACACAGCACAACAATCAGGGTGCTCAAACAAATGACTAGCAATGGACGACTCATACTTATCAGAACTAACATCAGAATAATCAGCATGTGCCGTGGACACATCCGATACCAAATGGCTAGTCGTGTGGACCCTAGCCATTGAAACCGTTCAACATTTTCTTCAGACTTCGTAACTCACACTTTGTGTGAATCTATACAGGCGGGTGGGACGCAGCCCACCCACACACTCCACCTACAAACAAGCACGCAATATTCTTCCAGGACCATACATCCTATCCAAATTTTACTTTGTTCTCCCAGAGATTTGGAGGACAATCAACTTGTTTACCTACCTGACGGGCTGTTCAAAGCCACAACCAAATTACAATACCTGTAAGTCACGTTGTGAATGTACCGTAAAAAGGCGTGTTTGTCATAGTTCTTTTGAGATGTGGCAAATGGGATTTCGGGATATAGCATCTCGTTGATTGATCTCATGTACCCGTTATGACCCAAATCTGACGCCGCTCGTGGAAGACTTTTCCAGGTAGAACTCCGTGTTGTAAGCAAAGAGCTGAGATAGTGTCTTTACAAGTTCCATTGCGCATTCCTTCAAGAAAGAAACTAGCTCTTGCGATTTCTTTTCCACTTAGCCACCTATTTAACCCCTCCTTTACCACAGGCAAGTTCCCTATCGACTGGAAACTGGCTAAATTTGTGCCTATGTACAAGTGAAAAGGCAGCAAATCCCAAGCGAGTAACTATCGCCCAATTTCCCTCCTGTCCTGTATTTCCAAACTTTGCGAACGGCTCTTCTTCAATCAATTATATAATCATATTTCTCCTGCTCTGGATCCCGCGCAATCTGGGTTTCGTCGTGGTGACTCGACCACTCTACAGCTCACCAAGCTGATCCAAAACATTGCCGACCATCGTCATATGGGGCGGAAAGTTGCCATATGCTTTTTCGACCTCGAGAAAGCTTTCGACACCGTGTGGCACTGTGCATTACTTGCTAAACTTTCCAAAGTTTTCGGTGTGTGTGTGTGGCGCAGCGCTAGAGTGGATTAGAGACTACCTATCCGACAGAACGCAAGTTGTCTTTGTAGGTGGACTACTCTCAGATGCCTCACCTGTTCTGTCCGGAGTGCCGCAGGGATCCATCCTAGGGCCCCTCCTTTTCCTAGTGTATATTAATGATCTTCCCAGTCATGTTGAAGGTGTGTCCTTATTTGCTGACGATAATGCACTGCTCCAGTTCAATGAGTGTCTAGAGAGGCTGCGAGAGGCTGCGAGACAGTCTCCAGTGCGGCATCAACGAAGTCCATCCGTGAATGACTACCTGGAGATTAAGACCTAATATCGCCAAGACTGAGATATTATTCCTGCCGAAGTCAGAGCCAACCTATGCATTTACTCTTCCCGGATCCCTCACAGACCTCACAGTGGTAAAGCAACACAAGCATCTTGGTTTGGTCATTGAGTCAGACTTACTGATTAGTAGACATGTCGACTATATCGACTGAAAGTCCTGCTGCTGCTGCTGCTGCTGCTACTGCTACTGCTACCACTACCACTACCACTACCACTACCACTGCCACTGCCACTGCCACTGCCACTGCCACTGCCACTGCCACTACCACTACCACTGCCACTGCCACTGCCACTGCCACTGCCACTGCCACTGCCACTGCCACTGCCACTGCCACTGCCACTGCCACTGCCACTGCCACTGCCACTGCCACTGCCACTGCCACTGCCACTGCCACTGCCACTGCCACTGCCACTGCCACTGCCACTGCCACTGCCACTGCCACTGCCACTGCCACTGCCACTGCCACTGCCACTCCTACTGCTACTGCCACTGCTACTGCTACTGCTACTGCTACTGCCACTGCCACTGCCACTGCCACTGCCACTGCCACTGCCACTGCCACTGCCACTGCCACTGCCACTGCCACTGCCACTGCCACTGCCACTGCCACTGCCACTGCCACTGCCACTGCCACTGCCACTGCCACTGCCACTGCCACTGCCACTGCCACTGCCACTGCCACTGCCACTGCCACTGCCACTGCCACTGCCACTGCCACTGCCACTGCCACTGCCACTGCCACTGCCACTGCCACTGCCACTCCCACTGCCACTGCCACTGCCACTGCCACTACCACTACCACTACCACTACCACTACACGTACCACTACCACTACCACTACCACTACCACTACCACTACCACTACCACTACCACTACCACTACCACTACCACTACCACTACCACTACCACTACCACTACCACTACCACTACCACTACCACTACCACTACCACTACCACTACCACTACCACTACCACTACCACTACCACTACCACTACCACTACCACTACCACTACCACTACCACTACCACTACCACTACCACTACCACTACCACTACCACTACCACTACCACTACCACTACCACTACCACTACCACTACCACTACCACTACCACTACCACTACCACTACCACTACCACTACTACTACTACTACTACTACTACTACTACTACTACTACTACTACTACTACTACTACTACTACTACTACTACTACTACTACTACTACTACTACTACTACTACTACTACTACTACTACTACTACTACTACTACTACTACTACTACTACTACTACTACTACTACTACTACTACTACTACTACTACTACTACTACTACTACTACTACTACTACTACTACTACTACTACTACTACTACTACTACTACTACTACTACTACTACTACTACTACTACTACTACTACTACTACTACTACTACTACTACTACTACTACTACTACTACTACTACTACTACTACTACTACTACTACTACTACTACTACTACTACTACTACTACTACTACTACTACTACTACTACTACTACTACTACTACTACTACTACTACTACTACTACTACTACTACTACTACTACTACTACTACTACTACTACTACTACTACTACTACTACTACTACTACTACTACTACTACTACTACTACTACTACTACTACTACTACTACTACTACTACTACTACTACTACTACTACTACTACTACTACTACTACTACTACTACTACTACTACTACTACTACTACTACTACTACTACTACTACTACTACTACTACTACTACTACTACTACTACTACTACTACTACTACTACTACTACTACTACTACTACTACTACTACTACTACTACTACTACTACTACTACTACTACTACTACTACTACTACTACTACTACTACTACTACTACTACTACTACTACTACTACTACTACTACTACTACTACTACTACTACTACTACTACTACTACTACTACTACTACTACTACTACTACTACTACTACTACTACTACTACTACTACTACTACTACTACTACTACTACTACTACTACTACTACTACTACTACTACTACTACTACTACTACTACTACTACTACTACTACTACTACTACTACTACTACTACTACTACTACTACTACTACTACTACTACTACTACTACTACTACTACTACTACTACTACTACTACTACTACTACTACTACTACTACTACTACTACTACTACTACTACTACTACTACTACTACTACTACTACTACTACTACTACTACTACTACTACTACTACTACTACTACTACTACTACTACTACTACTACTACTACTACTACTACTACTACTACTACTACTACTACTACTACTACTACTACTACTACTACTACTACTACTACTACTACTACTACTACTACTACTACTACTACTACTACTACTACTACTACTACTACTACTACTACTACTACTACTACTACTACTACTACTACTACTACTACTACTACTACTACTACTACTACTACTACTACTACTACTACTACTACTACTACTACTACTACTACTACTACTACTACTACTACTACTACTACTACTACTACTACTACTACTACTACTACTACTACTACTACTACTACTACTACTACTACTACTACTACTACTACTACTACTACTACTACTACTACTACTACTACTACTACTACTACTACTACTACTACTACTACTACTACTACTACTACTACTACTACTACTACTACTACTACTACTACTACTACTACTACTACTACTACTACTACTACTACTACTACTACTACTACTACTACTACTACTACTACTACTACTACTACTACTACTACTACTACTACTACTACTACTACTACTACTACTACTACTACTACTACTACTACTACTACTACTACTACTACTACTACTACTACTACTACTACTACTACTACTACTACTACTACTACTACTACTACTACTACTACTACTACTACTACTACTACTACTACTACTACTACTACTACTACTACTACTACTACTACTACTACTACTACTACTACTACTACTACTACTACTACTACTACTACTACTACTACTACTACTACTACTACTACTACTACTACTACTACTACTACTACTACTACTACTACTACTACTACTACTACTACTACTACTACTACTACTACTACTACTACTACTACTACTACTACTACTACTACTACTACTACTACTACTACTACTACTACTACTACTACTACTACTACTACTACTACTACTACTACTACTACTACTACTACTACTACTACTACTACTACTACTACTACTACTACTACTACTACTACTACTACTACTACTACTACTACTACTACTACTACTACTACTACTACTACTACTACTACTACTACTACTACTACTACTACTACTACTACTACTACTACTACTACTACTACTACTACTACTACTACTACTACTACTACTACTACTACTACTACTACTACTACTACTACTACTACTACTACTACTACTACTACTACTACTACTACTACTACTACTACTACTACTACTACTACTACTACTACTACTACTACTACTACTACTACTACTACTACTACTACTACTACTACTACTACTACTACTACTACTACTACTACTACTACTACTACTACTACTACTACTACTACTACTACTACTACTACTACTACTACTACTACTACTACTACTACTACTACTACTACTACTACTACTACTACTACTACTACTACTACTACTACTACTACTACTACTACTACTACTACTACTACTACTACTACTACTACTACTACTACTACTACTACTACTACTACTACTACTACTACTACTACTACTACTACTACTACTACTACTACTACTACTACTACTACTACTACTACTACTACTACTACTACTACTACTACTACTACTACTACTACTACTACTACTACTACTACTACTACTACTACTACTACTACTACTACTACTACTACTACTACTACTACTACTACTACTACTACTACTACTAC